TCACCGACGCTCATGTAGAAGCAACAAACAGAACTGATTTTCTGTCTGAAATAGGGATGGGCAGGATTAGTCGATTAATCGATAATTGATCATTAAGAATTTCATCGATTATGTTCATTTTAATCGACAAACTGAATCTAGGTTTCTGTGTGTAGAGTAGGAAGACCAAACATCTGTGTCCGGGACAAACAGGTGTGTACATGTGTCTCTGCATCAGAAGGAGCGACACACAAACAGTGGGTCAGTCTGTAACGAACCGAAGCACAAATGTGGATTTAACCAGGATTTGTAGAAGAAATTCCACACTTTCCGTTGCGTTGGGACAAGTGTGAGTCCATGTGCACAGTGGATAAAGCAGCACATATGTTTCTGTGTCCAGTGGGAAAAAGTTTTTCCAGGTGAGAGTCGCTCAATGTGGATGACGAGGCCCCGCCCCCCTCCCCCCGTACGCTGTCCTGGTTTTGACAAACACAAATCTGGTCACACTGACCTGTATTCACCTGAGTCATGTCTTTTAATCCAACACAAGTTGAACCACATCAGCGACACAAGAGCTGGAGTTTTATCTTCACTTAGTTTATGTAAATTAGTGATGTGGTTTTAAGTTTTGTTTCTGTGAGATTTGAACAAAACTGAATTAAACACATTATAATGTCAAACAGCTGATGTGGATCTAGAGTCGTTATGTTTATATGTCGTAAAAACGTACAACTTCGTCAAATAAAATTTATAGTAAAAATAATTCAAACATGTTTTTTCAGAGTTAAATTCAAAGTAAGAAATTTAGAGGTGTTTAAAATTCAAATCTTCCGTTAATGTTTTGTTCTTGACAGACGCAGGAGTGAAGTCTGGACGGTTTTTATATTTGCAGATGTTGTGTTTGATGATGGGAGGGCATCTGACGCACACAGGATATATTTAGAATGTTCTGTTAAATGCCACAGTTCTCTGCTCTAACTCGTCCTGACAGCCCCTCCAGGCACTGCTCCCCCACCACCACCACCACCGACCGCACAGCACCACCCGCACCACACACCGAACACACACCCACCAACCACCGCACCGCACCAACCACCGCACCACCAACCGCACCAACAGAACTAACACCACCAACAGAACCACCCGCACCACCGACCACAGCACAGCACCACCCGCACCACCGACCGCACAACAGAACTAACACCACCAACAGAACCACCCGCACCACCGACCGCACAGCACCACCCGCACCACCGACCGCACCAACAGAACCACCCGCACCACCGACCGCACAGCACCACCCGCACCACCACCCGACACCCGCACCAGCACCACCCGCACCACCAGCACCCGCACCACCAACAGAACCTACAACACCACCAACACCAACAGAACCACCCGCACCAACCGCACCACCAGCAGCACCACCCGCACCAACAGCACCAACCGCACCACCAGCACCACCAACACCACCAACAGAACCACCCGCACCAACAGCAACAACAACACCACCAACACAGCACCACTCGCACCACCAGCACCAACAGAACCAACACCACCACCAGCACCACCAAACACCACCAACACCACCAACACCAGCACCACCAACGCCACCAACAGAACCACCAGCACCCAGCAACAACAACACCACCAACACAGCACCAACAGAACCAACACAACCACCAGCACCACCAGCACCACCAGCACCACCACACCAGCACCACCAACCACCAGCACACCACACCACCACACCACCACCACCAACACCAGCACCACCAGCACCACCAACACCAGCACCACCAACACCAGCACCACCAACACCAGCACCACCAACACCAGCACCACCAACACCAACACCAGCACCACCAACACCAGCAACACCAACACCAGCACCACCAGCACCACCACCAACACCAGCACCACCAACACCAGCACCACCAGCACCACCAACACCAGCACCACCAACACCAGCACCACCAACACCACCAACACCACCACCAGATCTACAAATGACCAGATGCCCTCTCTCCTCCTCCCTGTGTGTAAGGTGTCCTCTCCCCCATGTGTAAGGTGCCCTCCTCCCAGTGTGTCAGGTGCCCTCCCCGTGTGTGTCAGGTCCCTCCTCCCCGTGTGTGTCAGGTCCCTCCTCCCCGTGTGTGTCAGGTCCCTCCCCGTGTGTGTCAGGTCCCTCCTCCCTGTGTGTGTCAGGTCCCTCCTCCCTGTGTGTGTCAGGTCCCTCCTCCCCATGTGTGTCAGGTCCCTCCCCATGTGTGTCAGGTCCCTCCTCCCTGTGTGTGTCAGGTCCCTCCCCGTGTGTGTCAGGTCCCTCCTCCCCGTGTGTGTCAGGTCCCTCCCCGTGTGTGTCAGGTCCCTCCCCGTGTGTGTCAGGTCCCTCCCCGTGTGTGTCAGGTCCCTCCCCGTGTGTGTCAGGTCCCTCCTCCCTGTGTGTGTCAGGTCCCTCCCCGTGTGTGTCAGGTCCCTCCCTGTGTGTGTCAGGTCCCTCCTCCCTGTGTGTGTCAGGTCCCTCCCCGTGTGTGTCAGGTCCCTCCCCGTGTGTGTCAGGTCCCTCCCCGTGTGTGTCAGGTCCCTCCCCGTGTGTGTCAGGTCCCTCCCTGTGGTTTAAATTCTATACATTTGTTCTGTAATGTGCGTTTCTTGGGTGAGTTTAAAGTTCAGATTTCAGTCTCAGGTGTGGGTTTAAAAAACACTTTTGGGCATAAAATGTTTAAAATCTTTCATTTTACATATTTCTGTAATATTTAGTTTTTTGTCTCTGAATGATTCAAATGTGCAAAACTGTGAAATGTGTAACTGGAGACAATGTTGTGTATGTTTTATACATCACAAAATTGTCATAAACAGAGTCATAAAAATCCCTTAACCCTTCAGGCCCGACGGTCTCGTACACGACGCCTGAGAACATGTTTTATAACTGCACAGAACTTCACAACCATAAAATAGATAAACTTACTTTCTTTTCCTTAAGAAGCTGAGAAAAGATTTTTCCGTCATTCCCCTGCGTCTCTCGCTGTGACGACGTCGGGAAAAACGAGTGTCCAATAGGAACTTTGTTTTGGTCCAAACTCTTCGCTCCGTCCATTTTGATTGGTCCAAACTTTTCCAGAGTCTGTTGAGTCAAAACGGTCGATGTTCTGAGCGTCTGTGTTCAGTGAAAGTGAAAAAGTCGCACTAAGTGCAGAGATTTCTCACATAAATGGACAAATGACACATGTTGGTCTGTGGAATTGTGTCCAGAAGTGCAAATCTAAATGTAATAAACTCATGGAAATGCAGAAGTGATGTGTCTCTGTGACTTGGACTTGACTCCAGCTGTTTCCACGACCTGCACCAGTCAAGTCACATGTCATGGGGCCAATGCTCTTTCTGTTTTGTTTTGAGGCAATAAGGAGATGTCGAGTTTATTTACAGACTTGATATTTTGCACTTTTGTAGCTAAGACCCCAAATTAAACATTTGTATGTCAAAAAATGTGTTAATACATGTGTGTGTGAGTTTGTGTGAAAGAGTGTGAATTTTATTTATTTTATTTATTTTAATTTTTTTTCATGTGTATTTCTGGTCTTTTTTTTATTTTTATTTCAGCCACATGACTCGACTCCAGCAGCAGATTGTGAAATAACAGGATGTAGTGAAAAAAAGGATGAAGAACACTTTATTAGGGAGAAAAGAGGAAGATTTAATAGAAAAATTAAGAAAAAAATCCAGACGAGGACAAATGAAATTATATTCAGCTTGTTTTTGGTGAATAAAAACACTTGAAATGGAAAAAAGTTTAAAATCTTTTGTGTTTTTGTCCAGGTTCAGTCGCAGTGAAGTGTCTCGAAAAAACAGACGCCAAACTGAAGAAGAGGAGGAGGAAGAGGAAGCAGAGGAACCACAGCACAAGAGACGTAAGCTCTCCTCCCTCTCACCAGGAGGTTATGGGTTCGACTCCTGATCTGTTTCTTGTTTTTAGGAATGAATCCGTTTGCCAAAGACGCCGCTGCTTCTCCAGAGAAAACTGTTCTCAAACCAGGTCCGAGCTCAAATCACAAACTCCGCATGATCACAAATAATCACAGATGATCACAAATAATCACAAATAATCACAAATCACAAATAATCACAGATGATCACAAATAATCACAGATGATCACAAATAATCACAAATAATCACAGATGATCACAAATAATCACAGATGAATCACAGATAATCACAGATAATTACAAACTCAAACACAGTATTTTATCTAAATTATTTTCCCTTTTTTTTTTTTTTAGTGGCAGTGTCCAGAGGCGCTCGCTCCAATCCCTTCAAGGTGATCATCTCATTTATATACAGTTGTAGGGAGTATTATCTGTGACAACACACAGCTGGTTCACTTTTTAGGAAGTTAAAGTTGCATTGTGTAACCTTTCTGGTGGAGGGTCCGTCAAATGTTTAGTTCTGGTTTAGACCCTGGTTGAGACTTGGTTTAGTCCTTGTTTAGACCCTAGTTGAGACCATTGTTGAGACCTGGTTTAGACCCTGGTTTAGACTCTGGTTTAGACTTGTCTCCATGGCGATGTTGTTGCTTTGTCTGGAATGTTCCTCAGTATGGTATTAAATCTTACTTTCTCCATGGAGACCAAACCAGACAAAGGTCCAGGTCAGATCTGTGGAGAGGCGACCGCGCTCACATTTTACATTTTAGAGCTCTGAAACCTCCTGTAACTGAATAAATGTGAAGTCGAACTGTTTAAAGTCACACTGTGGAACATTTCAGACAGAGCTGCGACGTCTCCATGGAAACAAACAGGTGACGGACCCTGATCAGAAAAGTTACACAGTGCAGCTTTAACTGTGTTCTGATGGAAATAAAATGCCTTTTCCAGAACCTGGTATCGGTTAATATCGGGTATCGACAGAAACCAAAAGCCAAAGTATCGATATCGGTATCGGAACTGAAAAAGCTGTATCAGTTCATTTCTAAATCAAACTTTTTATTTCAGGTTTAAAGTCTCTGTGCCTGATTTACCACGTGTGTTTGAGCAGAATAATAATCCTCTGTGTTCTGTCTGGGTTTAATTATGACGAGTTTAAGGGTCAGAAAACCAGGAAGTACACGTTAGCATGCTAGTTGTGGTGAATAATTTGGATGTTAGTTTTGTGTTTTTTGCCTTTTTAAAGCATTAAAAATCAGGCACAGAAACATTAAACGAGGCAGATGATGTTCCTGTTCCTGTGCGTCCTCAGGTGTCCTCCGGGGGCGCCGCCGCCGCCGCCGCTCAGCCGCGCGTCGCCAACATCCTGGACAACATCCCAAACAGGAAGTCCACTCCACCCACTTCCTCCTCCAGCAAAACCAGGAAGAGCCCGGTCCTCAAACCACTGGCCCCGAAACCCAAGAGCAAGGTACACAGACCTGGTTTAGATCTGGTTTAGACCTGGTTTAGACCCTGGAGAAGTGTTTAGCACGTCCTCAGAAGTGTTTAGCACGTCCTCAGAAGTGTTTCGTGCGTCCTCGGGAGAAGTTTTTAGTGCGTCCTTAGAAGTCTTTAGCGCATCCTCAGATGTGTTTAGCACGTCCTCAGAAGTGTTTAGCACGTCCTCAGAAGTGTGTAGCACGTCCTCAGAAGTGTTTCGTGCGTCCTCGGGAGAAGTTTTTAGTGCGTCCTCAGAAGTCTTTAGCGCATCCTCAGAAGTCTTTAGCACGTCCTCAGAAGTGTTTCGTGCGTCCTCGGGAGAAGTTTTTAGTGCGTCCTTAGAAGTCTTTAGCGCTTCCTCAGAAGTCTTTAGCGCGTCCTCAGAAGTCTTTAGCGCTTCCTCAGAAGTCGTTTTTGTGGTTCTCTGGCGTGCGACTGTGGCTGGAGCTTTGTAGTGTGGCACTAGTTGTGTGGCAGTTGTTGTGTAGTTGTGTATTTGTTGTTGTGATGAGATGTTTCTCTGCAGACTCAGTCCACTCTGCTCCAGTTGAACTCCAAGACAAACACCAAGAGACCAGAACCTGAGGAGACACCAGAGGAACCCAGAACCAAGGAACCAGACCCAGCTCCTCCATCTCCAGAGAGCACAGAGAACAGGAGGTAACGCCCCTCTGATGTCCTCCTCGTGTCCTCCACGTGTCCTCCACTTGTCCTCCTCGTGTCCTCCACGTGTCCTCCTCGTGTCCTCCTCGTGTCCTCCTCGTGTCCTCCACGTGTCCTCCACGTGTCCTCCTCGTGTCCTCCTCGTGTCCTCCTCGTGTCCTCCACTTGTCCTCCTCGTGTCCTCCTCGTGTCCTCCACGTGTCCTCCTCGTGTCCTCCTCGTGTCCTCCACGTGTCCTCCACGTGTCCTCCACGTGTGTCCTCCTCGTGTCCTCCGTGTCCTCCTGTCCTCCTCGTGTCCCCTCGTGTCCTCCACGTCCTCGTGTCCTCTGTCCTCCCGTGTCCTCCTCGTGTCCTCCTCCTCGTGTCCTCCACGTGTCCTCCACGTGTCCTCCTCGTGTCCTCCTCGTGTCCTCCACTTGTCCTCCTCGTGTCCTCCTCGTGTCCTCCTCGTGTCCTCCACGTGTCCTCCTCGTGTCCTCCACGTGTCCTCCTCGTGTCCTCCTCGTGTCCTCCACGTGTCCTCCACGTGTCCTCTCACGTGTCCCACTCCTCGTGTCCTCCACGTGTCCTTCGTGTCCTCTCTTCTGTGTTGTTGTGTGTACAGGCCTCAGACGGGTTCCAGCTCTGGTTGTGTGCGTTGTTGTGTGTCATGTTGTGTGTTGTGTGTGTGTGTGTTGTGTGTTGTTGTGTGTCATGTTGTGTTGTGTTGTGTCCCTCTCTTCTGTGTTGTGTGTCATGTTGTGTGTCATGTTGTGTGTTGTTGTGTCATGTTGTGTGTTGTTGTGTGTCATGTTGTGTGTTGTTGTGTGTCATGTTGTGTCATGTTGTGTGTGTGTGTGTGTGTTGTGTGTCATGTTGTGTGTTGTTGTGTGTCATGTTGTGTGTTGTTGTTGTGTTCATGTGTGTGTGTTGTTGTCATGTGTGTTGTCATGTTGTGTTGTTGTGTGTGTCATGTTGTGTGTCATGTTGTTGTGTGTTGTGTGTGTTGTTGTGTGTCATGTTGTGTCGTGTTGTGTGTCAGTTGTGTGTTGTGTCATGTTGTGTCATGTTGTGTGTCATGTTGTGTGTTGTGTGTCATGTTGTGTGTCATGTTGTGTGTCATGTTGTGTGTCATGTTGTGTGTTGTGTGTCATGTGTGTGTGTTGTGTTGTTGTGTGTCATGTTGTGTGTCATGTTGTGTGTCATGTTGTCATGTTGTGTGTTGTTGTGTGTCATGTTGTGTGTTGTTGTGTGTTGTTGTGTGTCATGTTGTGTGTCATGTTGTGTGTTGTTGTGTGTTGTGTGTGTTGTTGTGTGTCATGTTGTGTGATGTTGTGTCATGTTGTGTGTTGTTGTGTGTCATGTTGTGTGTCGTTGTGTGTCATGTTGTGTGTCGTTGTGTGTCATGTTGTGTGTCGTTGTGTGTTGTGTGTCATGTTGTGTGTTGTTGTGTGTTGTCATGTTGTGTGTTGTTGTGTGTGTCATGTTGTGTGTCATGTTGTGTGTTGTTGTGTGTGTGTGTTGTGTGTCATGTTGTGTTGTTGTGTGTCATGTTGTGTGTTGTTGTGTGTCATGTTGTGTGTTGTTGTGTGTCATGTTGTGTGTTGTGTGTTGTTGTGTTGTTGTTGTTGTGTGTTGTGTGTGTGTGTCATGTTGTGTGTTGTTGTGTGTCATGTTGTGTGTGTGTCATGTTGTGTGTCATGTTGTGTGTTTGTGTGTGTGTGTGTGTGTGTGTTGTTGTGTGTCATGTTGTGTGTTGTGTGTGTGTGTGTGTGTTGTTGTGTGTGTTGTGTCATGTTGTGTGTTGTGTGTTGTTGTGTAACAGTGTGGTCATGTTGTGTGTTGTTGTGTGTCATGTTGTGTGTTGTTGTGTGTGTGTTGTTGTGTGTCATGTTGTGTGTTGTTGTGTGTCATGTTGTGTCATGTTGTGTGTTGTTGTGTGTCATGTTGTGTGTTGTTGTGTGTTGTTGTGTGTTGTGTGTGTGTGTCATGTTGTGTGTTGTGTGTCATGTTGTGTGTTGTGTGTCATGTTGTGTGTTGTTGTGTGTCATTGTTGTGTGTTGTGTGTGTGTGTGTGTTGTGTTGTTGTGTGTGTGTGTCATTGTTGTGTGTGTGTCATGTGTGTGTCATGTTGTGTGTTGTTGTGTTGTGTGTCATGTTGTGTGTTGTTGTGTGTCATGTTGTGTGTTGTTGTGTGTCATGTTGTGTGTTGTTGTTGTGTGTGTTGTGTGTGTTGTGTGTTGTTGTGTGTTGTGTGTGTGTGTGTTGTGTGTCATTGTTGTGTGTTGTTGTTGTGTCATGTTGTGTGTTGTTGTGTGTGTTGTGTGTCATGTGTGTGTTTGTGTGTCATGTTGTGTGTTTGTGTGTCATGTTGTGTGTTGTTGTGTGTCATGTTGTGTGTTGTGTTGTGTGTCATGTTGTGTGTTGTTGTGTGTCATGTTGTGTGTTGTTGTGTGTTGTGTGTCATGTTGTTGTGTTGTGTGTTGTAGTGTGTGTGTTGTTGTATGTTGTGTGTTGTTGTGTGTCATGTTGTGTGTTGTTGTGTGTCATGTTGTGTGTTGTGTGTCATGTGTGTGTTGTTGTGTGTCATGTTGTGTGTCATGTTGTGTGTTGTTGTTGTGTGTGTCATGTTGTGTGTTGTGTGTGTGTGTGTCATGTTGTGTGTCATGTTGTGTGTTGTTGTGTGTCATGTTGTGTGTTGTTGTGTGTGTTGTTGTGTGTTGTGTGTCATGTTGTGTGTGTTGTTGTGTGTTGTGTGTGTTGTGTGTCATGTTGTGTGTTTTGTGTGTCATGTTGTGTGTTGTTGTGTGTCATGTTGTGTGTTGTTGTGTGTTGTGTGTGTGTCATGTTGTGTGTTGTGTGTTGTGTTGTGTGTCATGTTGTGTGTTGTTGTGTCATGTTGTGTGTTGTTGTGTGTCATGTTGTGTGTTGTTGTGTGTGTCATGTTGTGTGTTGTGTGTTGTTGTGTTGTGTCATGTTGTGTGTTTGTGTGTCATGTTGTGTGTGTGTCATGTTGTGTGTTGTGTCATGTTGTGTGTTGTTGTGTGTTGTTGTGTGTTGTGTGTCATGTTGTGTGTTGTTGTGTGTTGTGTGTTTGTGTGTCATGTTGTGTGTTTGTGTGTCATGTTGTGTGTTGTTGTGTGTTGTGTTGTGTGTGTCATGTTGTGTGTTGTGTGTCATGTTGTTGTGTGTGTGCATGTTGTGTGTTGTTGTCATGTGTGTGTGTGTCATGTGTTGTGTGTGTTGTGTGTGTCATTGTGTGTTTTGTTGTTCATGTTGTGTGTTGTGTGTCATGTTGTGTGTTGTTGTGTGTCATGTTGTGTGTTGTGTTGTGTGTCATGTTGTGTGTTGTTGTGTGTTGTTGTGTGTCATGTTGTGTGTTGTGTTGTTGTGTGTCATGTTGTGTGTTGTTGTGTGTCATGTTGTGTGTGTTGTTGTGTGTGTGTGTGTCATGTTGTGTTGTTGTGTGTCATGTTGTGTGTTGTTGTGTGTCATGTTGTGTGTTGTTGTGTGTGTGTTGTGTGTTTGTGTGTCATGTTGTGTGTGTTGTGTGTGTGTGTCATGTTGTGTGTCATGTTGTGTGTCATGTTGTGTGTGTGTGTGTTGTTGTGTGTCATGTTGTGTGTTGTTGTGTGTCATGTTGTGTGTTGTTGTGTGTTGTGTGTCATGTTGTGTGTTTGTGTGTGTGTGTGTGTTGTGTGTCATGTTGTGTGTTGTGTGTTGTGTGTGTTGTAGTGTTGTGTGTTGTTGTGTGTTGTGTGTGTGTGTGTGTTGTGTGTTGTTGTGTTGTTGTGTGTGTTGTGTGTGTGTTTTGTGTGTCATGTTGTGTGTTGTGTGTAGTGTTGTTGTGTGTCATGTTGTGTGTTGTTGTGTGTTGTTGTTGTTGTTGTGTGTGTGTTGTGTTGTTGTGTGTTGTGTGTGTTGTGTGTGTGTCATGTTGTGTGTGTTGTTGTTGTGTGTGTTGTTGTGTGTCATGTTGTGTGTTTTGTGTTCATGTTGTTGTTGTTGTGTGTGTGTGTGTTGTGTTGTGTGTTGTGTGTTGTGTGTCATGTTGTGTGTTGTTGTGTGTGTGTGTGTCATGTTGTGTGTTGTTGTGTGTCATGTTGTGTGTTGTTGTGTGTTGTGTGTTGTTGTGTCATGTTGTGTGTTGTTGTGTGTCATGTTGTGTGTTGTTGTGTGTTGTTGTGTGTTGTTGTGTCATGTTGTGTGTTGTTGTGTGTCATGTGTCATTGTGTGTGTTGTTGTTGTTGTGTGTTGTGTGTCATGTTGTGTGTTGTGTGTAGTGTTGTTGGTGTGTGTTGTGTGTGTGTTGTTGTGTGTGTGTGTCATTGTTGTGTGTTGTTGTGTGTCATGTTGTGTGTTTGTGTGTCATGTTGTGTGTTGTGTGTGTGTGTTGTGTGTGTGTGTGTGTTGTGTGTGTTGTGTGTGTGTGCATGTTGTGTGTTGTGTGTGTGTTGTGTGTGTGTCATGTTGTGTGTGTTTGTTGGTGTTGTGTGTGCATGTTGTGTTGTTGTTGTGTTGTGTTGTTTGTTTGTGTGTGTGTGTTGTGTGTGTGTTTTGTGTGTGTGTGTTGTGTTGTTGTGTGTTGTGTGTGTGTGTGTTGTTGTGTTGTGTGTGTGTGTGTGTTGTTGTGTGTTGTTGTGTGTGTGTTGTGTGTGTGTTGTGTGTGTCATGTTGTGTGTGTTGGTGTTGTTGTTGTTGTTGTGTGTGTTTGTGTGTTGTTGTGTTGTTGTGTGTCATGTTGTGTGTTGTTGTGTGTGTCTTGTTGTGTTGTGTTGTTGTGTGTTGTTTGTGTGTGTGTGTGTGTCGTGTGTGTTGTTGTGTGTTGTTGTGTCATGTTGTGTGTTGTTGTGTGTTGTGTTGTGTTGTGTGTGTTGTGTGTTGTGTGTCATGTTGTGTGTGTTGTGTGTCATGTTGTGTGTTGTTGTGTGTTGTTGTGTTGTGTGGTGTTGTGTGTGTGTTGTTGTGTCATGTTGTGTGTCATGTTGTGTGTTGTTGTGTGTTGTTGTGTGTTGTTGTGTGTCATGTTGTGTTGTTGTGTGTCATGTGTGTGTTGTTGTCATGTTGTGTGTTGTTGTGTGTTGTTGTGTGTTGTGTGTCATGTTGTTGTTGTTGTGTCATGTTGTGTGTCATGTTGTGTGTTGTTGTGTGGTGTTGTGTGGTGTTGTGTGTTGTTGTGTTTGTGTGTCATGGTGTGTGTTGTGTGTCATGTTGTGTGTCATGTGTTGTGTTGTTTGTGTGTTGTGTGTTGTTGTGTGTTGTTGTGTGTTGTTGTGTGTCATGTTGTGTTGTGTGTTGTTGTGTTGTTGTGTGTCATGTTGTGTGTTGTGTCATGTTGTGTGTTGTTGTGTGTCATGTTGTGTGTCATGTTGTGTTGTTGTGTGTCATGTTGTGTGTTGTTGTGTGTCATGTTGTGTGTCATGTTGTGTGTTTGTTGTGTGTTGTTGTGTGTTGTGTGTCATGTTGTGTGTTGTGTGTGTTGTGTGTCATGTTGTGTGTTGTTGTGTGTTGTGTCATGTGTGGTGTTGTGTGTGTGTTGTGTGTGTGTGTTGTGTTGTGTTATGTTGTGTGTGTTGTGTGTGTTGTGTGTTGTGTGTTGTGTGTGTCATGTGTGTTGTTGTGTGTGTGTGTTTTGTGTTGTGTGTTGTGTGTGTTGTGTGTGTTGTGTGTGTGTGTTGTGTGTTGTGTGTGTTGTGTGTTGTGTGTGTTGTTGTGTGTTGTTGTGTGTTGTGTGTTGTTTGTGTTGTTGTGTGTGTTGTGTTGTTGTGTGTTGTTGTGTGTTGTGTGTGTGTGTGTGTCATGTTGTGTGTTGTTGTGTGTGTTGTTGTGTTGTGTGTGTTGTGTGTGTTGTGTGTTTTGTGTGTCATGTTGTGTGTCATGTGTGTGTGTTGTGTTTGTTGTGTGTTGTGTGTGTTGTGTGTTGTGTGTGGTTGTGTTGTTGTTGTTGTGTTGTTGTGTGTTGTGTGTTGTTTGTGTTGGTTGTGTGTCATGTTGTGTTGTTGTTGTTGTGTGTGTTGTGTGTCATGTTGTGTGTTGTTGTTGTTGTTGTTGTTGTGTGTGGTTGTGTGTGGTTGTGTGTGGTTGTGTGTTGTTGTGTGTTGTGTGTCATGTTGTGTGTCATGTGTGTCATGTGTGTGTTGTGTGTCATGTTGTGTGTTGTGTGTCATGTTGTGTGTCATGTTGTGTGTTGTTGTGTGTCATGTGTGTGTTGTGTGTCATGTTGTGTGTTGTGTGTGGTGTGTTGTGTGTCATGTTGTGTGTTGTTGTGTGTTGTTGTGTCATGTGTGTGTGTTGTGTGTGTGTGTGTGTGTTTGTGTTGTTGTTGTGTGTCATGTGTCATGTTGTGTGTTGTGTGTTGTTGTGTTGTTGTGTGTCATGTGTGTGTGTTGTGTGTCATTGTTGTGTGTTGTTGTGTGTGTGTGTTGTTGGTGTGTTGTGTGTGTATGTTGTGTGTTGTTGTGTGTTGTGTGT